TATATCCTTTTTGAAGCTCAGGATCGCTGGGCAAAGTGTAGTACGTTATTCCTTTAGTTCTGTAATTATTCGTACACAAAGAACTGGCACAATTCCAATGCCAAGTTTTCGTGTAAGTCGCCATCTCTACGCCATAAAACTGAAGAGCACTTCCGTCCGGCAAAACCGATAACTTGTGCCAGGCTCCCACGGTATGAAATCAGGCAATGTGATCGAGTATGTGATCGATGTGATCTGCTTTCTAGATTCGTTGTCGCTGATTTATAAAGGTAAGAGAGTGTAAAAGAATCCTTTTTTATATCAAGCTAATTTTAATGACACAGAGTAAGCTCTTTTTGTCTCACGGAATGAGGACAAAAAGTGTCTGGGTTTTTATTTTGATAGAGAATGGCGTTGCTCTCTGGTTCCTGTATAATTTTCAGTTGTTATTCGCATCGCCTTTTTTCCATCGTGTTTTACAAGGCTAAAACTAGCACTTAAGAAAACTCAGCGAAGAACGATCGTATTTGGCAAGGATTGTTGCTTTCGTTGAACGCAGTCCTAATGCAGACTCGAGTCAAATTTCATGGGACGGTTCACCTGTAAACAAGGTGATTTGCTTTTTAGATCGCGTTCGCTTGTTTGTTGTTTTGATTCTGGACCGTGAGTGGCCTCTTTTGTCAGGATGCAACATGACGTGCTTTCGTTACATAACTGGGACAACAATTATTTATTCTGTTCACAACCACGACTTTGAATCGCCTTGCCTTTGGCACGTTAACTGTAGGAACAGCTATATTTCATTGGCTATATTTTGAGTTTGTTGCATTACTTAGTTCCAGTGGCCAAAAATAGTTCAGTATTCAACGAAGCTCAAAATTGAATCGATGGAAGAGTACTCTGAAGCCAAGATCTATAGGAGTAAGCCAGAATTAAGGAAAAGCAATGTAAATGCTGACTATCTCTATTCATCAGCGGAAATATTCGAATCAGTTGCCAGTTGCACAGAGTTTGTTTACGATAAACCACGGATAAACCGGCACGTTAGTGCAAATGCTAGCTGATATTTGTGCTTCCAGCTTTGAATACTAGATGTAACACAAGTTTACTTTTAAAAATTAGCCTTTATGCTTAAAAATTGCCAGTAAAAGTAAAACTGAGATTTTCGCATGAATTTTGAAGGCAAATGGTCTATTTAACTTGTGACTTACCGAAACTGGAGCCGTCACCCAACATCTCAGCAATAAAGCAAGGAAATCAAAATACAGCCGAACCTCTATTAAGCGGCCCCCTATTAAGCGGCCAACTTTAATTTGGCTGCCAGCGACCAAAAGCCCGGAAAAAATTGTCAGCTCTACACTGTAATAAAACCTGTATTCAGCGGCCACCTCTATTAAGCGACCGCGGTCAGCTTCTTGCCGTCCTAAGGGTGATTTTGTTTTGTTTTATACCTCTTAGAAGCGACCAGTTGTCTCGTCCCCCAGAGTGGCTGCTTTTTGGAGGTTTGACTGTAATCTCCCGAAAAATAGCGGACTTTGTTATTATGTTACTGTGATATCTGTCTATAAAACTTCAGCTGTTCACAAAGATAATGATTTCAGCAACAGACAGCTATTTAAGTTAATCACAGGCGTAGAAAACGAACGCACTCATAATCTTTGATTACTACTAGTTGAATAAACTAATAAAATGTTTAAATTCACAGGTACATCAACAAACACATCCAGTGTTTACACAGAGGTTTAAATCTGCGGGTTTGCGTGACTGTCACATTCACTATTTAAGCGTGGTTGTAGCGAAAACTAAGACCCCCGAAAGCTAAGACTAAGACCCGAAAACTAAGACCCAAAAACCAAGACCCGAAAACTAAGACCCAAAAACCAAGACCCGAAAACTAAGACCCAAAAACTAAGACCCAAAAACTAAGACCCAAAAACCAAGACCAGAAAACTAGGACCCAAAAACTAAGACCCAAAAACTAGGACCCAAAAACTAAGACCCGAAAACTAGGACCCAAAAACTAAGACCCGAAAACTAAGACCCAAAAACTAAGACCAGAAAACTAAGACCCAAAAACTAGGACCCAAAAAAACTAAGACCCGAAAACTAAGACCCAAAAACTAAGACCCAAAAACTTAGACCCGAATACTAAGACCCGAAAACTAAGACCCAAAAACCAAGACCAGAAAACTAGGACCCAAAAACTAAGACCCAAAACCTAGGACCCAAAAACTACGACCCGAAAACTAAGACCCTAAAACTAAGACCCAAAAACTAGGACCCAAATACTAAGACCCGAAAACTAAGACCCAAAAACTAAGACCCGAAAACTGAGACCCAAAAACTAAGACCAGAAAACTAGGACCCTAAAACTAAGACCCAAAAACTAAGACCCAAAAACTTTGACCCGAAAACTAAGACCTAAAAACTAAGACCAGAAAAGTAAGATCCAAAAACTAAAACCCCCTTATTTTCTTTATTCAACATGATTTTGTTATGGTTTCTTGCTGGAAATATCCAGCTCCGGTTTTAATCTTTTAATGAGCGATCGATAAAGCATGCAATCAAACACTGGTTTTACATGTATTCCCTTAAGTCCGGTCATTTGTTCCCATGGAACTTCAAAGGCCTTCATCTTTGAGTGAACAAGCTGAACCAGTTTTAAAGGAAACTGGAGGAAAAGGCATCGTAGCTAGCACGACGGATATCAAAGTAAAGCTCGATCGATTATGTTATGATTATGGCCTGTTTTAGATCGTCCGAATCCTGGCAAATAAGATCGACCGTGCTTCTTCTAGCATTTTGTTGGCTGCAAAACGTTACCTAATAAACCTAGTTGTGATCAATTGAGTATGTTTACCCGGTGTAAATGTCACTAAATGTTATTACTATATCTCTCAGTTAGTACGCGTGCTGTGATTGGCCAATTTAGCGGACCGTAATCTACTGTACGGCCCGCTAAAATTTAAAGCTGTTTTTGTTGCCAAAATGTTTCGTGATTTATTGCCAATTGTTCTTAACCTTTTTAGCAGGTGAAAGTTTAAAACTTTCTTTTACTTCTGAAACTGCGTATTAAAACCTACTAACGATTCAGAATTGACTCGTTTAACTTTCCAGGTGCGTCAGAAATTTGAAACCGTTTTGTGTAAATAGAAATAGTTCCCGAACCCGTCACACACCCAGTAGAGATATAATAAATATCTTACTAACTCGTTTTCTCGGTCCGTACTGTAACTTACGGATCGTCGTTTTTTTCCCCTTCGGTTTATGGGGAAAAAAACTCGTTCCGTAACTTACAGTACCACCCTCGAACTCGATTAGTAACAGGTGTTTACTGACCGTTGTAAATCAATGAAAAAATAATGCAAGTGGCGCATGATCTTCAATGCACCTTATCTCAAAAATGAGCACTGCCCCCCCCCATTTTTTTACAGATCTCTACCTTTCTGCATGGCAAGTTTCAAAACAATCTGAACATGGGAACTATTTGTCCACGAACATCCTTAAAACCCATCTACCTAGGTTTCAACAGGAAATTAACTTTTCTTTTTTTCGGCAGATAAAACAACGCAAGCATTGTGGCCAGTTCTTTCACCAGTTAACAGATTGCATGATGGAGCATGAAAATCACACGGGAATGAAGTCATACACATGCACATATTGTGAAAAGAGCTTTAGCGTTTTCTGGAATTGCAAGCGACATGAACGAAATCACACAGGAGAGAAGCCGTATACATGCAAGCATTGTAAAAAGTCCTTTAGCAACTCATCAGCTTGCAAGCAACATGAACGGATTCACACAGGAGAGAAGCCGTATACATGCAGTTATTGTAATTTGTGCTTTAACGACTTATCAAATTGCAGGAAACATGAACGAACTCACACAGGAGGGAAGCCGTATACATGCAAGCATTGTAAAAAGTCCTTTAGCGAGTCGTCCAACTGCAAGCAACATGAACGGATTCACACAGGAGAAAAGCCGTATGCATGCAAGCATTGTAAAAAGTCCTTTAGCAGGTTATCAGAGTGCAAGCAACATGAGCGAACTCACACAGGAGAGAAGCCGCATACATGCAAGCATTGTAAAAAGTCCTTTAGCAGGTTATCAGATTGCAAGCAACATGAACGAACTCACACAGGAGAGAAGCCGTATACATGCAAGCATTGTAAAAAGTCCTTTAGTCAGTCGTCAAAC